CTGGCAGGTGGATTATGTTACCTCTGGACAGAACCAGGTTAGCTGTATCCTATTGTTTCCTATCTTTATGCTAAACTAAGATAATCAGCTGCTTTGGGTAGCCTCGTATTTTCCGTATAGAGAAGAGAATGGTATTAATCTTCTCATATACAGTAACTCTCTGTGTGAGAGTGAATGCACCTGTTTCTCAAAATGTCAAACTATTCCTTTGAATGGGCCTTGAAAGGACAGGATTTCCAGCAACCTCAGATACTAATGAGCTGCACAGTGGATATCGATTCTGGTCCTTAGTAACCAGAGGTTTCCTTTTACTGGCAGGTAGTTTTTCATGTTCGCTGTGAGATAAATGCAATGAACTAACTGGCAGAATAACAACTTGCAGTTTTATTGAGTCAAACAACCAGATTCAGAGCCCACTGTGCTACTTTTACTCACGTAACACAGTTCCAGCTAAATTAAATCCATTATTAAAATACAGACAGAGCTAGCGAGCAGGTCTTTTAGTTGACATAATTCTTTTTACACATACTGTTCCCAAGATAAAGAATACTTTATACCTAAATTACATGAATATAAATGTTATTACAGTTTAATTAGTTTAAATTAAAGCACAAATTGCTGCAATACATAAATGACTGATGATAAATGTTACAGCAAACAACTGCAGTCTGAACTCTGACCTTTGGAGCTACAGCTTCCTCCGGCCCATCCTCCCGCCACACACAAGATGGCATCCACCTTCTGTTCCCCTAGCAACCGGGCCACATCTGCCGTCACCTGCAAAAGAACAAGAGATAACTACCAACACCTTTTCATAAAGCCGCAAGGCAGACAGCATTTAATGTGGAGCAGCTTTCAGCTCACACAGCAGCTGGAAGTTTTGACTACATGTTTTATGTGCTGCATTCAGGTCAACCAACAAAGGAGGATTTTTGGAAAAACAATTCACAGCAGCCTCCAAGTGATGAAAACAGGACTCCATTAATGTCATTTCTCTTTTTTATTTGTCTTTGGATGACCTGAAAGCTCCACAATCCTCTAGCTGCAATAAACTGTGGATGTACGCCACAACACTAAAGCTAAACCAGCGATGTCGTGGTGAAAATGAGAAAATCAAACTTGTTACAAATCAAAGTCTCTTATCAGCGCTGCGAGCAACAAGCGCCCGACTTTTCCCTTCTTTTCAGATGTGAACCTGAACGCAGCATTACCATACACAAGGCAATACTAAACAGTGAATTTAAAAAAGAAAACAATAAACACATCATATTAATTCACAGCCGTTAAGTTAACGACAGTAACGCTTTCACTGTCTGTCTGTCTGTCTGTTTGTTAGTGACTGCCCCACCCCAGGACAGTGATTGACCAATCAGCTGCAGTCACAGTCAGTCTCCTTATTATTTCTCCTCATGCTGAGATGGTATGCAGACAGATTATGAGACAAAAGGCTGCTGGGCACAGAAAGATACCTCCACCTGCCCTACATAGGACACCAAGACTGACAGAGACACAAAACAACCAGAAAGACACACAGAACAACCAGAAAGACGCAAAACAACCAGAAAGACACACAAAACAACCAGAAAGACGCAAAACAACCAGAAAGACACACAAAACAACCACAAAGATGCAAAACAACCAGAAAGAGACACAAAGAGACACAAAACAACCAGAAAGACACAAAACAAACACAAAGAGACACAAAACAACCAGAAAGACACAAAACAACCAGAAAGACACAAAGCAACCAGAAAGACACAAAACAACCACAAAGACACACAAAACAACCACAAAGAGACACAAAACAACCACAAAGAATAAATATAAAACATTCCTATTTCTCTGTCTTTCTCTTTTCCTGTCTCTCTGTCAGCTGATAAGCAGGTTTCCTGTCTCTGGCTCTCTGCTGTTATTGTTCTGCAGCAGACGGTTTAAATCAACTCTGATGGTCTGTTTTTACTGCTGCTGTTGCCATGGCGATAGAAACACATGGATAATATAAAAACATAGAACTTAATAAAGCCAACCTGACTGACCTCACAGTCACATCTCAGAGTCTTTTCAGACCATCTACTGGTGAAATCTGATGCACTTTTCTTATTTACTTACTTACTTGAACTTACTTCTCAAACATTTGGAAGGAAATTGGTCTGATAGACTTCTGGATTTTTTCTCTGCTTTTAACACAATCCAACCTCATATTTTAGCCTTTCAGAACCATCGAGTTTACTCGTGGCTCCCCACAGGGATGGATGCTTTCACCCCTGTTATTTATCCTCTACACAAACATATGTCAAAGCAGGTGGGAAAACGGAACCATTTTAAAGTATGCAGATATCAGAGTTATTGTTAGTCTCCATTAGACTCCAGGATGATGAGAGCAACCACAGTCATCGATGACTTTGTGGTGTGTGGACTCCAATCTTCAGTTAAGCATACCAGAAACTGAAGACAAGATAACTGATTTTAGAAAACATGCCTACACACAGAGTTGCATCCATCAAGAGTCAGACAGTGGAATGTGTTTGTGTGTGCAGAAAGGGGCACCAGCGTTTGTGTTGTTTATGGAAACTGTTCTATTTCCACATCGACAAAACCATGATGACCTTGTTTTATTCTGCTTTTATTGAATCAGTTGTATCTTTTTCTTTGATGTCATGATTTGGAAACTTTCTCTAAAGAACAGAATCTGCGTCAATCACACTGTGAAATAATCCAGTAGGCTGATTGGTAAATCACAGCTTAACCCAGAATCCCTGTACAGCAGACAGGTACATCAGACAGACTTTGACCAGGTGCAATGATTACATGCTGAGTCCCAGTTACCCAGGTGAAACTAGTTCAATTTAAACGATTGTTTGGCACTATAAAAGGCAAAACATTCGGTGTGTTCTCCTTTTCCTGCTTAAAGTCTGTATGCAGTAAATCCACGTTTTCAGAATTGGCTGTAAAATTTTAAACCAAATTTGACACAGAAGTTCCCTAGGCTATGCCTCATCCAACGCAACTGGCAATACGCAAAAGAGTGCTTGCACTCTGACAGGACAGACACAAACAAGCCAACATTGCTGATTTCCTTGAAATATCACAGAGTGCTGTCTGTAAAATCCTCAAACATCATCGAGAGGAGGGTCATTTTTTTTTTTTTACATTTTTTTTGGGGGTTTTTGTTATACAAACATACATAGAAAAAACATAACAGAAAAAAAAACAGAGTACAGGAACAGGCAGTTACAGAAAAAAAAGGGTTAACATCAGATGTTTACTTGAGGTGGGATTAAAAAAGAAATTAAGTAAAATAAATAAATAAATGATAATGGCTGCAGAGAAGATTCCAGGGTTAGAAGCAGGAGTTAACTGTTG